TGCTGGTATCACTCAACCCCCTTTGAATAGTAAACAGCCATCAGTGTGCTAATGATCCATTGTTAGGCTGATGGTCCTTCTTGAGCATGTGATCAGCTGGTTTTGGTTGTCAGCAGCAAAACTGGTTGATCCACTCTGAGAAGGTGCTATTTAAGAGACTGAGCTGAATACAGCTCCTCAGACTGAGGAAGTCTTTCGGATGAAAGACGAAACGTTTCTACAATTTAAAAAAAAATATATATATTTTTTGAATGTCCAGAGGACCTGATTGAACTTTTTTAGATTTTTCTACCTGGATTATTGAGCATGAATCAGGATACTACAGATAATTGTTCGTGATAATCCCAGTCGATCAATCAGCAGTTTCTGGCACCAACAACATTCAACGTTCGAAGTCACTTAAATCCCTTTCGACTTCTTTCTGATGCTCGGTATGAACTTCAGGTCCACGTCACCATGTATAGGTGCCCAAGTGCATTTAGTTAATGTCATGTCATTAGCTGATTAACTGTTTATTATTAAATCCACTTATTCAATAGCTCATTAACTCAAAGTGGCATGAACTTTGTGTATGCCACTGGTATTTACTGACCAGTCAGCCCAGCTGATTGTAAAGGTTAGCGTTTAACAGTCAGGAAGAATCAGACAGGCACTCGAGTGCATTTGAAGAACTTCTTTCTTTCTGAAATCTACTTTTACAGGTTTATTTTTTTAAGGTGTATTGTACTCATTCGTGTTCGGTTTCATCCACAGGACACCCTGAAGCCGACGTTCACCGTGGCCAGTTTACCAGGCACCACGAGCAGCGCCCCGTCCACGGCGCCCACCACATCTACTACCATGCAGGTGAGCAGCGGACCATCGTTTCCCATCACCAACTACCTGGCCCCCGTCTCAGCCAACAGCAACGTAAGCGCAAATGGAACCGTCCTCAAGACCGCCGGCGCCTCCACTGGAGTCATGCAGCTGCCCGGCGGCTTCACATTCATGCCGGGTACGTGGACGTTGGCCCTCAACATCCGGTGCTTTGTTGGGGTTCTGGTTTCCTTCATGGTTTGTTTCATCCTGTGATGTCACTTGAGTTGTTTAACTCGTTCACTGATGAGAATTTGAACGAAACTACGGCGTGATCTCAGACCTACGCTCTCGTACATCGTTCAGCAGCTCTTCACAAACGGCCACCAAGGCTCGGCGCCCTTGAGTTCTACAAAGCCCACAGTGTCCAGGGGAGACAGTCTGTCGGCGAGCGGCTCTGCCTTTGATTGTCACTCGGGGGCACGAATAATTAGGTGAGGGGGACACAATGGAGCCGGCAGAGAGAAGGCTGATGAACAAGGTCTATAATTAGTCATGAATATTCAATGAAGGTTTGCGCGGAAATTATATTCGAGGTGTGCTTCGTGGCGTTGGATCCTTTTGTGTCGCAGCGACCCTGAGCCAGACATGACCGGTTCGTTAAGGGGGACTCCACAGACCGAACACTCTGCCCCACCAGCACGGTTAAGACTTTCAAAACTAGTAAGTTCAGATTTTGAGCTCCTTCAAGTAGCTTTTCTGTTATTCATCGATGCATGCGGGTGTGTTTGTAAGCAAAATGACTCATAAGCCACTAGATGGATTTTATTGAAACTTCTGGGAAATGATTCCATGTACATCTAAAGCTCGTTAACTTTTGTAGCCAATTCAAAATAACACGGCTGACCCAGCTAATTAACTGTAAACAACACACAAAGGGCTGTAACTCAGTCAGACTTAGAAAAATAAAACTAAAATTTGGTGCTGCAGTAGCTGAGAGTTTGTGCTCCTGAGATTGCACATGGCATTTATTTTAAACTGGTACAACTCCGCCATTCCTCAAGATAATCGTTCAGTCTTAGTCTACGGTAAAACACAGGCATGGCAGCGGGCGATGCCTTCCAGGAATGCCAGGTTGTGATTTGTTGTTAGAGATGTTGGGTGCCCTCCAAAGGCCCCGAGAAGAGCAGGACGTCACGGACTCTTTTGTGAGAAATGGAGGAGTTTCCGTCCAACGTGGTGGAATTTGATCATTTCTGTTTGGAGCATAAAAAAAAGATGTCAAACTTTTCTGTGCTTTTTATTTCATTTGTTTATTTATTAGCGCAAGTTTGTGCTCCTCAAGGTTATGAATGCAGAATGTCACACACCGGTGGTTGCAGTGTGTTGTAATGTGTGTTCTGTCACAGCTGAAAGTGCACGCACACACGCGCGCACACACTGTGCCCTCTAAAGGGTCACATATGTCACTCTGAATAACGACCAGGAAAACAGTTTCCTATTTATTTTTTTCAGCTTTTTCTCCAACTTGGCCCCCTCCACCCTCTCCTCTCTTCTTTAGCTTGCTTCTTGCTCCCTCTCTCCTCTCCACCACCTGTCTGGCACATGGCAGCAGCACCAGGTGGAGCAACACCCACCCCCACCTACACACACAACACACACACAGTTGACAGCTTGAAGAGGCCTGCTCGCCCCGATGCAGCACATGCCTGTGGAGCGTCAAACCAAATGCGAGGGTGTGACTCTGGAGTCACGTTCTGAAGTAAAAAAAAAATTAAATAAATGACTCAAACGCGTCCTTCATCTCCACACAGATGGTTTTATTTTGATATAACCTTAAAAATAACTCGAACACCTCTCTGCTGTTGCAGATCTTTGCAACAAGAAGGCCTTTCTTTCCACACCATTCAGCATTTTCTTGTTAGATTTGATCATTTTCTGTGACGCTGAAGCTGCAGAGAGTATTTTATAAACGGGAGGACGTACCTGCTCAGAAGAAGACAATTGACAAGGACGGCGTTCTCCTGAGTGTGAGCACATGAAATGTATCGGCAAAGTTAACAAGACGGCTCCTTTCTCTGAGTCTTTGTGCTAAAAAGATTTAATTGTAAACAACGAGTTAACGTCTAGTTTTTATCACCTGCTACTAAAAGGCGATGGTGTCTTTGTCCCACGTCTGTCTGCCTGTTAGCAAAATATCTCTTAAACCTCCATCTTCATGTTATAGCACTTATCAGTAGTAAGTAAATTTTATTTATATAGCACTTTTCATAGATACGATCACCAAGTGCTTTACAGGAAAACAAAATACAGGGTTAAAATAAAACAAAAAACAACAAGAACAGCTGATTTAAATTTTAAAATATAAATAATAAAATATAAAATGGATCGCAGAGCCAACAAGTCCAGGAGGGAAACCCAGACGTCCCTCTCCCCAATGACACAGCTCGTTTTGGAGGACCCTGAGGCGTTCCCAGGCCAGAGAAGATGCACCATCCCTCCAGCGACTTCTGGGTCCTCCCCGAACATCCTACGAGTGGGACGGGCCCAACAAACCTCTAAAATGAGGCATCCAGTAAACATCTTAATCAGATGCCTAAACCATCTCAACAGACTCTTTTCAGTGCAGAGGAGAAGCGGATCTAGTCCTCGGACCTTCCAGATAACGGAGCTCCTGACCCCGTCTCTAAGGCTGAGCCCTGTGAGTGAAGCCCATTTCGGCTGCTTGTATCTGAGATATCGTTCTTTCGGTCATGATCTAAACCTCATGACCACAGGTGAAGGTCAGAATGTAGACAGACCAGTAAATCAAGACTCTGCTCTTTCTTCACCACAACTGACCGAAGTAACGCCCTCATTACTGAGGACGAGGTCTCAATCTGTCGATCCATCTCCTGCTCCATCCTACTATCACTTGTGAGAAAGATGCACAGATACAGTACCTCCATCTGACGCAAAGTGTCTCCACCCAATCCAAGCTTCCCAAGCCAGATACCCCCCTCTCCACAACTGTGCCTAGAGATTCTGTCCATGAATATCACAAATGGGATCAGAGACGAGGGACAACCCACACTGAGAACAAGCTCGACTTGGTGCCAAGAATGCTGACGAAGCTCCTGCTTTGGTTATACAGGGACTGGAAAGCCCTTGAAAGCAACCCAGGCACTCAATACTCCTGCAGCACCCCCCACAGAATGCCTCAAGGAACACGGTCATAAGCCTTTTTCCAGATCCACAAAACATAGACTGAGAAGCAAAGTCTCATGAACCCCTTAGCAACAATCTGGTCCACTGTTCCACGACCAGGACAGAAGCCACACTGCTCCTCCTGAATCCAAGGTTCAACAGTTGGTCGAAGCCTCCCTTCCAACACCCTGGAGTAAAGTTTATCGAGGAGGGTGAGAAGTGTGATCCTACGATAGTTAGAACACCTTCTCCTGTACCCCTTTAAAAAAATAATAAAATGGGAACCACCACCCCGGTCTGCCACTCCACAGGCGTTGCCCCAGTCCTCCATGCAACATTAAAGAGACGTGTCAACCATGGCACCACCACCTTCAGCAGCTCGGCGCAAATCTCATCCACCCATGGTGCCCTGCTATCAAAGAGCTTTTTGACGACCTCAGTGACCTCTGCCATGTTGTCTTCCACCCAAAGTCCTCAAACTGGACCTCCACAAAGGTGGACACAAGTGCTATGTGTTGTCATCATTGTATCTTCCCATAACAATGACGAACTGAGTTCTCTGCATTCACACCTGAGAAACACCCAGGTGGAGCAGTGGGCAGCTCTGTAAGTGCCCGGGGAGCAATTGGGGATTAGGTGTCTTGCTCAAGAACACCACAAAATGTGGGCATGGCAAGGAGTTGAACTTACGACTTTCTGGTCCCAAGTGGGCTGCCCTACCTCTACATAATCTCGGCCCATACAGACCGAGGAGAACCCGTCCCTGTGACTTGTTAGCCCGGGATAGGATGCTCACTAGACCCCCATGGTGGATGGATGAAGAAGATCTTGGAAGCGATCCTTCCACCGCTCAACAATATCCTCAGTTCGGGTCAGCAGTTCCCCGCCCAAACCAAGCATAGCCCTAAAACTCTGGGATAGGGTTTGAATCGCTCTTAGCCTGACCCCCCTCCCCCGAAGTCTGTTTGCCATTGGAGACCCTACCAGGGTCTGAATCAAAACCAATGAGGAGATTTTAATGAAACTTTCAAGACATAATCACTTGATGTACCGGCTAACTGATGTTAGCAGCACAAAAATGTCTCTAACTCTGTCAGGTTTACATAAAATAAGCTCATATTTGATGTGGTAGTAGCTGAGAGTCATCCAGCACTTGGAACACGATGCTAGTTTTGATGTACGACCAAAATGGCTACATCATCATTTCTCCACAAAAGATTTTAGTCGTAGACTTTGTTGTTGAGGCGGGTGGAGGAACGCTAAGCCTTTTTTGTCTTGTAATACATAAATAGGAACATCTTTAAATATAATTTCTCTGTACTGAAATGTAAAAAAATGTACCAGCAACTGGATGCTAACAGCAGCTACATTAGCTGTAACTCCTGTTATTGGGAGTAAATCTCGCAGAGATGAACACAACTTTTCCAGTTTGTAGGGTTGACTGTGAGTTTTTCCTGTCGTGATAAAAACGGCTTTTCCAGTAGCTCAGTCAGTTTAGAGATTTTTATTAGCAGAAGAAACTCCAGCAAAAAAAATGACAGACTGAGGATCAGCTCCTTATTTGGACTTCAGCGATGCCGGTCTCGTTGCTTATCTGGCTTTGACCCACCACAAACCTGAACTTTTTTTTTTATGTAAAAAAAAAAAAAAAGAAGAGACAAGTGTTTGAAGTCTCCCAGAACTCGTATCTGTTTAAAAACCATAGGAGAAAAAAAAAAAAAAGTATTTTTTGCACCCATCTATCCATGCACTTTAGTTTGAACCCCATGTGTGTTTGTGTGTGTGCGTGCCCCTGTAGCAGGGACTCCTCTCCCCCCCGGCACCCCCACCATTCCTCTGAGCCAGCTGCAGCAGCACTCCCTGGCCCTCCAGGGGCAGCATGGTCAGACCCTGGCCGCCGCCTCGCAGCCTCAGCAGGGACAGCAGGCCGTCTTCCGCTTCCCTGCTGCTGTCTCCCTCACAGGTGATCTGCTCTGCATGCTGCCACCCCTCTGCCTGCCTTCACTAACATCAACCACACCTTCATGAAGCCTTGCTACCAGAACTGCCTTCACTACTTTCCTCCATGACTAATAGTCACACGCCTTGCTCAATAACTTCTCGTACCTCGGCTAACCGTACCCCTGGATGAGGTCTGTGGCTTCATGTCCTCTGTGTGTCTCCAGGAGCAGGAGTTCCCCAGCAGCTTCAGGCTATCCAGGTCCATCCGAACACGCAGTCCGCCTCCAACAGTGACAGCAGCCCGGAGATCTCCCACACCTCCACCAACTCCACCGGTAGGTCGACTTCTTTAGTGACAGTGGAGCGATGTTTAAATGTTGTCCCCATCTTATGTCATTTGTTCTTAACTGATTGCAAATCAACTGGAAAGTGGCAGGAAATGCACCTCGCCAGTGCTCACAGTGGGCCGGTACGCACCGACCGGAGCTTCTAAATTTTCATCCTTGGCGTACGTCACGTCTGAAAAATGGACCGATAATAAATCCTAAAATTTAAAAACAAAGAAACTGAATTTCTATTCTTTCACTTTTCTTCCCAACCAAGAAGCTTTTTCAATTCCAAACTAGAGTGCGTGAAATTCCAAGCTTTAAACCGTACAACTTGTTTGTTATGCAGCTAAATGAGCAGCAGATTAATCTCACTCCCCGCCCTCCTCAGGGTCATTAGGGTCTTTGTTTGCCCGGCTCAAACAAAAGATGCTTTGGTCACACGCATGACGGTGTGAATCATAACTAAATCTTTATAATTCACGCCTTCATGCATGTGATAGAAACCTCTCCTGTGAGACGATCGAACGAAGACCCTAATGACCCTCTGGAGGGCGGGGAGTGAAATTAATCTGCTGCTCATTTAGCTGCAAAACAAAACATTTCATACAGTTTAAAGTTTGCAACTCGACACTTTCCGGTTTGGAATAGAAAAAGCTTCCAGGCAGGGAAGTGAAATGTCTTCTACAGAACAAAAGTCCAGTGGCTTTTGTTTATAAGTTTTTTGAATTTGCCGTTTTCTTTATGTTCTACACCAGCATCATGTTCTACGCAGCGTTCAGCATCACCAACCGTAAGCTATCGCCAAGTCATATAAACGATGTTACTCATAGGACTTTAGTTAAAACAGGAAGTGATGACTTCTTCTACACCAGGGCTATTCAGCTGGCGGCCCAGGGCCCACATCAGGCCCACTGGTGAACTCAGTTCGCCCCACCATTGTTAAATAAAACTAGACTTTAAACCATAAAACAAACTTCATGACAACAACTGCTGGATGTCCGGCCCCTGAGCTCTGAGCTTTCAGTAACTGTGGCCCCCTGAGAAATGTAGTTGAATATCCCTGATCTACACTGTTTCTGATTGGATCATATTTGGAGATCAGGTGACGCTTTCTGGGAATTTTGTGGTCGGTGTGTATATATCGTATAATATATATTGATGAATTGGCAGCACAGATTAAGATTGTAACTTAAACTTTTAAGTTTGTTGGTAGAAATTGAAGTCTGGTTAAAATGAACAACGTGGATGATTAGCTTTGGAGTAGAGCAACATATCCCTGGCTCCAAGCTCCGCCTCTTTTTGGGGAAAACGACTCGTCCTGTTTGTGGCGACGAACACAAGTCCTGATGTTTGCTCAGAAAACTGCTTCAAATAAAACTACAGCGTTCCTTTTGAAGCCTTGAGGTGCCAAAATATTAAGACCTGTCAGGCAAATATTTATTTAGTCAGGCTTTTTCATAAATATGGACCGATGTCGTCAGGTTGGATGAACGGCGCCGCCCAGTGGGTCATAAACAGAATCACTGGGAGAATATGGTTCTCACTTTTCTCCTAATCAAACTGCGTTATCTTGTTGTTTTGGCCGTTATCAACTATAAACTAAATAAAACGGCACAGCAACGTATTTATGACGGGTTGAAGGGTCGCTGCAGAACTGTTCAATCTTTTTAACCTGTAAAAATAAATGAAGTGGTTTTAAATGACCTAAAACAAGTAAAATCCCATTTTATTATCATATATAAGTAAAGTTAAACAACTTATGCAGTGATGACTTGCATTGGCTACACATATATATTAGAATAAAATGACTTCCTTCTTTTACATAATTTCTGCAGCTGGGCAGATGTGCCGGATCTTTAACTCTTTTTGTTTAAAGAAGCAAATAAAAATGCAAACTGGTGTTTTTCTCAGTGAGTGGAAATACAGCGGGCGTTTGGTTTGAAGGCACACGGAGAATGAAGTCAGTAATTTAAATATAAAGTGGCACGTGCTGGACGACGTGCGTCCGTGCCTCACGCTCACGGTGGCGTCTTCTCTCCCCATGCAGCCACCGTGAGTCTCCCAGCAACCATCGTCACGTCGTCGGTGCCGACGTCGGTGGCGGGTCACATGATGTACCCCAGCCCTCACACGGTGATGTACGCCTCCACGCCGGCGCTGACCGACGGGGGGCTGGCTGTGCTCAACGCCTTCTCCCAGGGAACGTCGGCCATGCAGGTGTCGCACGCGCACAGCCAGGACGCAGGTGAGACTCCGCCCCTGAACAGGCGCTCCGCTGCGTGACGAATTATTTAATCCGGCTTGAATTAAAATGTCGTGTCTGAAAAATGTCTAAACCGGTGGAGGAGTTTTAATGTACATCTGCAACCAAATTCAAGATGGCTGCCACAGCTAGGCTACCTTGATATCGAGCTTTAACTCGGTCACTTTATGTTCAGGTGAAACAGGGCGTGGTAGCTAAGAGCGTCCCGTTTGATTCTTCTCCCCCCTCCCTCCCAGGTGGTGTTCCTCAGGTGTTCCTCACAGCCCCCCCAGGAACGGTGCAGATCCCCGTCTCGGCGGTGCAGCTACACCCAGTACGGCAAGATCTCCACTTTACAAGTGAAACTCTCATATTCCCTCTGCACCCAGCATGCCACAGTGACTGCACGAGCACGGGCGTGAGCGTTTCAGCATCTTGTCTGCTTTGAAGTGCACGTGCAGCAGACGTGTTCGAGCACCCGCGCATGGACGTGTGCGTGTCCTTGTAGAAGCTTTGCCGTTAGCGTCGACACGCGGAGCGTCCTTTCAGCAGCTGTTTGTTTGTTTGTTGTGTAGAACGTAAACAAAAACAGAATTCAACGATTTGCAAATTTTACAAACTCGTGTTTTATTCACAGCAGAACCCGGAGAACACGGAGAACCCAACGGACGAAGAATATTTATAAAGTTTCTTAAAGTTGATGGTGGCAGCACAGTTTTAAAAGTCATTCAGGTTTCCACTGAAGCATCTTCTCTTCTTCTAACATCAGTCTGAACATCCAGGACCTGAGCAGACCAGATGTTTATGGTTTTAGAGGACCTGAGCAGACCAGATGTTGGAGGTTTTAGAGGACCTGAGCAGACCAGATGTTGGAGGTTTTAGAGGACCTGAGCAGACCAGATGTTGGAGGTTTTAGAGGACCTGAGCAGACCAGATGTTTGAGGTTTTGGACCTGAGCAGACCAGATGTTTGAGGTTCTGGAGGACCTGAGCATACCAGATGTTGGAGGTTTTAGAGGACCTGAGCAGACCAGATGTTGAAGGTTTTAGAGGACCTGAGCAGACCAGATGTTTGAGGTTCTGGAGGACCTGAGCATACCAGATGTTGGAGGTTTTAGAGGACATGAGTAGACCAGATGTTGGAGGTTTTAGAGGACCTGAGCAGACCAGACGTTGAAGGTTTTAGAGGACCTGAGTAGACCAGATGTTTGAGGTTCTGGAGGACCTGAGCATACCAGATGTTGGAGGTTTTAGAGGACATGAGTAGACCAGA